GAGGAATCCGTATTGATGATTTGCGCCGTAGCTCGCGTCCACAGATAGCTGTGGATATCGACTGCAATAATAGGCTTTTGACACGCCACAAGATTGATGGCTCTGGGCAATTTCTCAAGGTGTCTGAAAGATAATAATCATTATATATGTGCCTGTCAGTGTTTGTTTGTGGACCGGTGTCACTTGAGACTTTCAAAGCTGGTCTATAATCCTGCACCCGTCATTGATTAACTGGTGTGTGTGAAAGTACTTCCTAAGTCAAAAAGTTTAGAGATGAATTCATCAGAATGAATAAACACCGTCTCCTAAACGGGTCCGTGGCCGCGGGTTCATCAGAATGAATAAACACCGTCTCCTGAACGGGTCCGTGATTATCAGCATCATTTAATGACTAATACAGTCTACTGTCAGGTCTTTGGCGCTCGTGACTGTTTTATCATGATGATGCGTTTATGTACGTGTTGGGACACGCAGTATCTCTGACAACAGTGTTATCTTGGTAAACAACAACCGACCTGTCAACGAATGTTGCTGTTCAACTGTACGCTTCACTCCCTCCAGACTCAGATTAATGTGAAGTCCGATTTCTATCTGTATCCGGAACAAAAGCTTTCATATTGTTTTTCAGTCTGGTTTCTCTGGACTTCATCTGAGTCGGAGAGATGGAACTAGAAGTGAAAATAAAGAGTTTTTTTTTTTAAGTGTCTAAAAGGATTATGGTCTTCTATGTTGATGACATTCCAAAACTAATTTCCGGACGGCAACAGTCCTCACAGCTACATGTTTTAGCCTCCAGGTCTCCTCCGCCGTGGGCTGCTGTTCCCAGCAATGTTTATAAAGTACTATTTATTCTCTCTTAAAATAAGCAAGACGTTGTATAAGGAATATGAATGATTTTTGTCCAGGAACTCAGGTGTCCAGGTCACAGGAACCTGAAGTCTGTTTAAAAATGTTCACATTCTGTCAAATTGCTACATTTCACCAATTTAGCTTTTTGTTCACGCTTCTCTACACAGAGAACCGCTTTCAAAGTCATAGCACAACAGCACTTTCTGCGCAGCAGAGTGATGAGATAAGTAAGTGTGGGGTCAAAGGTCGGCTCATTCCAGATTGCTCTGCTTTTCAATCTGGTTCCCCGTGGATGTTGTGGTGCAGAGGTTCAGCATAGGAAAAACTCAGCGCTGCCAGTAACGCACCTCATATTGTTTACAAAGAGCAGCAGCACAACAGCGAGGTCACTCCAGGTCAAATAAACACCATCCAATGAGAATCCTTTAAAGAGAAAGATCGCATCAGCTGACCCTGGATCTTTCATCTCGCGGTCAATAAGTCTGACATGTCTGCGTTCTGAAACTCCAGCTCTAACAATCTGTTCGACTTTTTTCACCGTTTTAACCCTGACGCAGCGATCGCTCATCCAGACGGACGTGGTGTGTTTAATAAATAAAACAGAAACAACAAATGTGGATGTGGTCGCTGTGTAAACGACTATACATTTGACTTTTAGTCCCAAACGGTCACATTCCCACTCCTGTTTATAGCACAGCTCAATAAAGAGTTCTAAACATACGGTCCAGATCGGTCCAGCGTCCAGCAGGGAGGATATCAGGAGTGACGACCTAATGTTCTTAAACGCGTCTTTAAGAGTGGGCTCTGGGCTACATCTGTGCCAGGTATCGACTCCACTCGACGCTGCTCAGTGTCTGAAACTCCATTACAGCCGTTTCTGCTCAGCCTCAGGATTTACGCCGGAGCAGAATGCAGAAAAATAAACCCCGCCTGGTGGGTCACCCACTGAACGACGATGGCATCTGTGGCCACAGGTCTTAACTACAGTAGATACATCACAACACAATGTGGATCAATAACTATAAATATGCAATATATTTGATTTCAATGTCTATTGTTACTTCCTGTTTGATAAAATACGACTAAAAGACCAAAAACTTGGAATGTTAACGTTTTCTTTGAGTTACAAATATGATGTTTTTTGGGTCGTCTCGCATCACGTTCTCCAGGAGTTTACGAATAATATCTATTGACTGGTCGCGAAGGTTTGTGGCTTGAAAATGTGGCTTCCCAGAAAAAAAGTTTGGGAAATACTGCGCTATGGTGTCAAACACTCGGCCCGCGAAAACTGTGTAAAATGATATTTCATTAAATACTAAGATTTTGTTGAAAAAAAGGGGGAAAAACATGGGCTTACTGTTGTCCCAGCAACCGTGGTAAATTAGATGTACACAGTGAACTGGACTACACTGAGACACTGTTGTTACCGAGCGTTTCTCGTCCGGTCTGTACTTGTCCACAGTTTCCACTCCGGTCCCTTCTGCAGTGCTGTGAATCAGACAATCGATACGTGCAGCTGTAGGAGGCACTAAAACCAAACTAATGAGCAGCAGACAGCTCCCTGTTATTGCTGTCATTCTGTCCTGTTTACAGTCTGTCCTGTCAACAACCTCCGTGTTTCTCACCATCCGGCACGCTGAAGCCAAGTGACAATTTCACACTTTCCCTGTGATTATTACCATCTCACTTCCTTGGGCGCCACACGCTGCCCGTCCCCAGTAGTGCTCATATATCAGGTGGCCGCGGTTACACCGCCAGCGTTCCACAAGGACTCCGGTACAAGGAGAGATATTTAAACACAGACAGTAAAGCGTCTTGCGGTGCGGAATGAGACAAGGTCTTAAGTGATTAGAGGGGAAGCGGCGAGCTGGAGCTCAGCCAGCCATATTAGATAGATGAGACACTGCTTTATAAGCCCGGTCACATCCTAATTACAAAAACACACAGTTATTTTTACTGCCGCATCAGGAGCTCTGAGCAGAGCAGCCTGCTGCTGGGCTGGGTTACCGACGCATCTGTATACAATGATTTAGATTTAGATTTATTTTTTTTAAATAAATGGAATTTTGAGTCACTGTAGTGAAATCAACAAGTATGGCCTGGTTCTTACATTAGCAACCATTTTTGCTTTGGCCAACAATCTGACTGAGTCAAAAAGTCCTAAGACTGTTAGGACTGTTAATATATTTGTCCTTCACTGAATATATGTAGCATTTAAAGACTCTCCTGCCATCTATAGAAATAGATTAGGTGCCAAGATATTATATATTTAATATTCATTAGTATCAATGTATGAATATATAATTTACATAATATTATAATTAATTTATTAATCCAGTAATTTACTTTGCGCAGCGAGATTGAAAACTACTGAAAACGACCTGTTTGTTTCTCTAATGAATACACTGTTCTACGACTTTTCTGCCAAAGCGTAAACAAAGCGTCCGTACTGCAGCACAGTGGGTTCAACAACAACATCTGTTCCAGTCAGTACGCTAACACGGCCCAAAGTAAACGATAACAGCACCATGAAAAGTAAATGAGCTCGGCGAGAGCAGGAAAACCTGTTTATGGAGCCAACGTCAGAGGCAATATGGCCGACACACACACACACACATATATATATTTTATGTATGTAATACCAATGTGTCTATCAGGTGTATTCGTGCATTAGGAAACTGATCAGTGGTTCAACTGTTGAATATCTGCTGCCAGTTAATTTACTAACGTCTCACACAAATTAATTAAAGTGATTAAAGAGTTAATTCTGAGTCCGACTCCCACAGAGACCGTGGGAAGGACGTGTGGTGGAGGATGAATAAAGGAGTTCTCCACAGCCTCTCTAATGTTCCCCGCAGATGCAGCACAGACCAACAGACCTGGCAGCTGTTTGTTTGCCTGGTTGCTGAGCGCCACCTGGGGGATAATCAAACAATCGTCGGCCTGTGACGCTTCTGAGATGAAGGTATTAACACAGAGCACGGACACTGATTGACCTTGACGTGGGTCATCGTGATCGTCAAACGCACTCATAAGTATTCACTCGTGCACACGCAGCCAATCACAGAGCGGCAGACCCACCACACATCCTGTCGAGTCCAGCTTCCGATCAGAAATGCAGCGGAAGTTGCGGCTGCAGCCCCCGTTGTCTTTGGTGCAGTCTCTGACCGGTCCGAACGAGTCCAGCAGAACCTCCAAGGAGTCGAAGGACGAACTGATCATCAGCTCCTCCCTGTGGTGAAGAGAAGACAATGACCTGACAGTTGACGTTGAAGCTTATGAAATGAGATTACAGAGCATTAATACTTCTGTAATATTAGGAATAATGAGCCAGAGTGAATATATAGAATTCATTAGAGTTAATGATGTCATCACTGTCATCGAGTCTACAGACAGTGGAGGAGAATCCTATCAGCGTTGAACTGAGAGCCGGTGAAATGAAGCGAGTGACAAATATTTGTCAAACGTGTGACGAGTGATGAAGTGAAGATGAAGAGCAGAGAAAATCAGATGTTGGTGTCGGAGTTCCCTCCTGGTCCCCGCAGACGGAGCGCTAATAAAGATTAGAGCTCAGCTCAATCTTTATAAATTCTCGTTAAAACAGATCAGATTTAAAAAAATAAATAACATTTTGGTCTGGGTTTAAAGAAACTTGACAGGATCAACCAGACAAAACACATGAATGTTCTTTGGTTTTGGTTTTGGTTCTAGTTTCTGGTAAACCAACATCCTGTTGGAGGAGGATTTAAATTCTAACCAAAAATCTAAACAAAAACTTGTTCCATTTCATTACAGCGACACTTTTTCGACTTTTTCTACATTTTGTCCTTTTTTTTTTTTGCTGTTGCCTTGATGTTGCATCACTTTAGTCCATTCTGCCTCAAATGATATGCAAACGGAAAAACGGCCAAAAACAAACCAGAGTTAATCTCACTGTGGGTCAGACAAGGACGCCACGTCCACACAGGACTGAAGCAAACGCTACAGGGAATCAAACCCGCAGCTCTGTGGTACATTTCAGACTTTTTTTTTTGAAAATTGAACTCATTTTAAATAAAGTACTTCCAAGTACTTGCTGTGTTTTAAACAGGCGCAGTACTCGTCCCCATTCACTGAACTTTTGACTTCAGTGAAACATGACTACATGTTTACACATTTTGTAACATATTCTAATTATAACAACACTAGTAACAATAATTCCATTTAAGTCTGTTTGTCAAATATATTTTTTGTCCAATCAACAGTTTAATCCAGTAACTGCACATATTTTATCAGTGTTTGAATTTTGTTTCTTTTATACAATTTCACCAGATTGATGAATGAAAAGTTCAAAAAAGTAAAAAAAAAAAAAATCTAACAAAAATGTCCCCTTTATTATTCCCCATTTTTAAAGTTTGGACCTTGGAAAGTCGAAGACAAACTTTATTACATTTATCAAAACGACTGGAGTCCAGAGGAGAGTCTGTTCAGCCGACATGGATTTTGTGTCGACAATCTGGAGTCGGAGGGAAAAAAAAAGCAATACGCGTTGAAGTGGGATTAGAGCCGTCGGTGGACAGTGGAGATTTAACTGTTAGTGGCAAACTGCTGCGGTATCGAGGGCCGGCGATTGGAAACGTCTGATCACCTGCTGCTTTTAGGGCCGTCTGAAATGGAACAGTAATTGTTCCGCAGAGTGGAAGCGGAATTAGCAGTTTAGAGACGGAACCCGGTGTCAGGGAGTCGGAGCTTTAAAACAAATAATCAATGTTTACAATCGCTGGTATATTTTACTGGTAACTGGTGCGGACAGGCCGGTAAACTGGTTCTAACGAGACCAGTCAGCAAAAACAATCAAACACTGAGGAGTTTGGACCATCTGAACATCTGAACATCTCAGTATGAAACCACAGCCTTGTCATCACCGCTCCATGTTCTTCATCAGGTTTTTTTTTTGTTTGTTTTTGAAAACGTGTCTGTTTATTTATTTTGGGTCAAACCTTCATCTTGATTAATTCTTTTTCTCTCTCTTTTTCTGTGTTTCATTATTTCTGCTTCTCTTAATAAATGATGTGTTAATTATTTATTCACCTTCTCAGTGACCCACTTATCCAGACTAATCATTTCTGACGACGAGTCGAGGCTAACAGGAAGCTGTGTGCACAGAGTCACCAACGACGGTGACCTTCAGATGATATTGTTCTCATTACTGTTAACTACAGGCAGAAGTAAACAGCGCGTTTCCTTCATTGTCTTTATCTCTCGTCCATTCATTCGATCCTTTAACTGAACGTCCTCAGGTCAGGGTTCCGTCCTCGTCTCGTCTCCCAGAGTGGAAACTGTTGCCCTGAACCAGATAAATATTTTCCTTCATAATTTAATAAGGTCGAGTCGCAGTGAAAAGAAGAAGACGCCATCTTGGCTTGACCTTTGACTGTGTTTGTATTTGGTACTTGGTTATAATAAAGTGATGAAAAAAACAAACCTTATATTGAACTCCCTATTGAAGTCCCTTCTGTCTTTTATGACATTTAATGTAGTATTTACTGTTAAACGACAGAGGAGAGTACGACGGCAGTATGTTGTCAAATATGAATCAACAAATACTGCAGCATCAAATATTCACTGTCAGATATTTATTGATATGAAACCTTTGTCCCTGAAGCAGAAATAATTATCAACCCATAATCAGTTTTCTCTGGATGACTGATCTGTGATCAGGCCGTAACAACCATGAAATGAAATAAAGCTGCGGGGCGCCCTCACCGTACGTCCACCGCGTCCTCCATCACCGTCATGTCCGTCTTACATTTGGCTGAAGGGTTGATGGCCAGCTCGGCCGGGGGGATGACGAAGCTTTTACTCAGCGGTAACCACATCCCTTCACCTAAGGTGTACGTGAACCTGCGGAGACACAAAGGTCAGAGGTGAAGCTACTGTAACAGCACTGTCTGTCACGTGACCTCAACTCAATTAGAAGTTGTTTAT